ATAATATTTTGAATGCTAGTCTGGAATCGGATAATTCAAATAAACCTGCGATAGATGCGATATGAGATGACTTCTATCAGATCCGTATGTTAGCGATTTTGATTATGTATTCAGAAGTTTTCTATAACTAATATACGAATTACGATATTCCACCCTACTCATTTTACAATTGAAGGCCTTAACGTTTTTTTTTCTGTAAGACAAGTTCATACATAAATGATATATAAATTGAATTTTTCAATACATTCAAACTTCTGAATACGTACGACTCATATTCACACCCTGAAATCTTACGTTCGTATTAGCTTTTATAAATATCTTATATTGATTACCTATGTGAAATGAATCCAGCAAACGAATGACATAAGTATTCAATGAAATGAAACGAATACATGTGTACGTTTATAACATGTGCCCGGCCAATGTCAACTACATTCGCATCTTACACTTACTTGCGTGTATAGGTCTTCTCTCAAAGCTTTAATACGTGCTAGCAGTTATTATTACTTTTAAAAGTGATTGTCTGTCATGTTAAACTATTCATTGTTGGTCAAGTTTCGTCCCTCTTTCTATTGAGATATAACACATATGATTCTACTCATGTAATGCAAAATATAAACAACAGTTACTTTTGAAAATAACAGTAGCTGCTCATCCTTAGTTCGAACCAAATCGGTTACGATTTCATAACTTCTCACATGGATTCGTTTGAAAAAAAAATTATAGAGCAGCTAAGACCTTGCCAAATCAGTTTAGAAATATTACGTTGAATAATCGATTTCATGACATTGAAAAAAAAATAACTTCGCTGTTCGAAAATTTTCTTTTTTTTTTTTGTCGAAAAAAAATGAAAGCTGTACTTGAAGGGTTAAATGAAGAATATGGTAGATAGAATTTATGAAACATTTAATTGATGAATAATTATATAAGAAAGAGCTGAAGGTTATATACAGTTTGATAATTATGAAAAGGTTCGATAGAATCTATGTTTGACAAAGGCACAGATGTTATTGATCAAATCATATTTATTATTTAAATTATTAAACAATCATATATCATTGTTCTACTCATTATTGATTTTATATATTGTTCTTATTGATTTTTCAATGCTTTTTGATTATGTACATATGGATAAATTCATTTGAAATAATTCTATACGTTATCAAATTTAGAATCTTCTTCCCTATGTGCAGATAAACATTCATATTCTTTGAAAATTAATCGAAAAACTTGTTCTTATCATTTACAAATCACTAATCAATATAGAAACGAAAATATTTTCGTATTTATTAATGTTGATTAATTATTATTTCAATTCATGTCATTCTATTCGATAATTATTATTGCATTTCTTCATCAATGTAAAAGCAATTTTTCATTATTCATTGATGACTCATGATTGATAATGCTATTTGACCAATATTCTCTGGTTAGATACAATCAATAAATTTGTTCACAATATTATTTCCGTTAATTGTATAGAATTCCTTAATTTGAACTTTGTAGGTCGAATGATTTGGAAAAAAACATTATCATATGTAGGTGTAGATGTATGTCTTCTTTATCTCTTCACCCACATTTCTATCATCAATGGAATAATAATTTGTATTATTTCAAAGTTTCAACAAGTCGGCATATCTTTTGAGTTCGTCACATATTATAATGCATACTCAACAGCTTTATTTGTTTCATGTATTCTGCACTGATTGTCTTACTTTATTGGTTTGCTTATTTACCTAATAAATCGAAATCAAACTGGAAATTTTTTTCAAATACTTAAGATTGCATTATTCCTATCGTATATATGAAAAGATAGCCGTATATAATATGAACATTTCGAATATATTTTTACCAATAATGTAAATATTGTTTTGTCTTTCAGATTAATAAAATGAACAATTATTAAGAATCGTTAAATGTTTCAATAAATGTTTAAAATAGATTGTTAAGACGTATTTTTTCTTCGATTTATTGCTAAAATTTGCACAATGATCGAAATGAAAAATATACAGAATTCTGTAAAATAATATATAATATTTAATGAAAAATATTTTCAAAATATGATGAAATAATTTGTATGCAAATTAAAACGATTTTTATCATATGTCTAAATCTAATTCATTGCAAATAAAAATTACGTCGAACGAGAAAATCTCTTCAATAGTCTCAGAACTAAAAACGACTGATTCCACTCATATCTACTAATCAAATTAGGCAAAACTTATACTGATGGCTACACTGTTGACTTTCTTTTCGAGTAACGACCATTTCACTCAGTTCCTGATTGACAAAGGAAGGTCTCTGAGTGTGATATGGCAATCAAGTTGATGTTTGACTCGTAAGTAGGTCTCGATGATACAAGTCAACGCTGATAAGGATTTGTCCCATCTACTGTCCTTCTAAAATTATTAAAGTTTTATGGAATTTTTTATTCTTGGGAAAGTATTTGTGAAAAACGAAAGTACAGAATTTCAATGTGAAAATCTGCCGAATAGTAGGTCTAGTGGATCTTACTTTATCTTGAAAATTTCAGCGTTAAGGCATGTGTTCTTCTTAGAATATTGAATAATCAAAAACTAATAATGAGTTACAAGAAACGATAAGAAAAGTCCAGTACTTTCAAGGCTCGAGATCTCAAAAACGATATATTGTTTTGGGCTGAAATTTCCAAGATATTCAAAGGTTCGCGAGACCTAATGATAGACGAAATTGCAAATTGAAACTACGTAACTAATTTTTTCCCACACACCTTTCTGAAGATAATTAAAAGTGAATAAAATTGTAATAGCTTAGAAAGAATAGCCTACGGGAACAAACTCTTATCGACTTCTACTAGGTCTCATTGAAATCTACTTATTGGCAAAATATTAGTTCTATTGACGAATTATATTTGGAAATGTTTCCTTGTTAGTATAATTCAACATGGTCACTTCGACCTGTTTAGGTTGTACCTAGTCTAAGTAGACTATATCTATAACTATCTTGACTTATTTTTTTGGACTTTTATATTGAAATTTTGACTCATATTCATGATTAAAATAAAAATTTGTATTTAATATAATATAAAAGCTATCTGTGAAAGATGTTCAACAAGACCAAATCAATTACAGAGTACTATAATATTGTTTTTCTTCTATGTAATTGAATATTTCGAAACAAAAGAAAAAATGCCATTGAATTATTCTTTATCGTATCAAGTTGTTTATTTAATACTCGTATATATTTCTATCTGCTTGTCAACTATTTAAATTTTATTACGAAAAACACGGTCGTTTTTTGGCTTAACGCAAAAAACATATTGTATATAAATATAATTTGACATTTCATCTTATGTAAAAAAAAAAAAAAAAAAAAAGAAACAAAAACTGATAATTATCACGTTGACAATACGATTTCTTCTTATCAATCGTTTTCACAAAGTTTGTATATTTTTTTTCTTCAAATCAATTGTTACAAGTGTCTACCAGTATATCAGCATTGCATCACATAGTTTATCATATGCAAGTAATGTATATAGTATATGATGCACATCACTAACCATATCATCGACGACACAGACGACTGAGTAATATAAAAGTCACTTTCTTTTTTGTTTAATAGCTTACCTCTATTTTACCTTCTCGGTTTCTCTTTATGACTGGCTACATACATAAATGCAAATATCAATTTTATTATTGAATGTCATCGCGCACTCGAACACAATCATTTAAACAATATTATCATATATATTTAGAAAATACTACAACTAGATCATGCTCATCTTCGACTGATTCATAAATGATGAACAGCAGTGAAAATAGAACATGAAGCAAAGAAATGAATATGAATAATAGTAAAGTAAATAATTGTCGAATAATATCAGGAATTCAACATAATTGTATACAAGCAACATTTCATACTTAAAGAAATCGATTACATAGAGAAGCAAAAACAAACATCAATTGCAAGAGGTCTATAAAATTTATCGCTATCTACAAAATCAAATGATAAAAAGCAATATAAAAAACATCAACAAATAGATTCGAACTTTAAATTTGAATAAAATACTAAAGTGAAATAATTTTTGTATATTTTTTTCTTGTTTTATAGAGAAAATTTTCTTTTAAATCCTTAAATTGTTTCATAATACGCGCAAGCTATCGATAGGATCTTTATAAAACATATAATTTTCTTCTATAATAATATTAACTGACTTCATTGTCAAAAATTCTATGTTCCATTTTCAAAACATTACATATAACTAACAATCATTTTCTTTTCCAATGAATAAATCGATGCAAACTACAAAAAGAAACAATCCAAATTTTCTCAATTTATTTTTATGTTCTACAATCTTAACAAACACAATTATCTTAGTAGCATATTATCAAATAAAAACAAATATTATAGAGTATATAATTCTCTTATAGTATTCACCTTGTACTGATTTCGTGTCATTGATATTCCTTAAGGTCAGAATGTCTCCCGTACCTTCACCGAGTAAAGAAATATTGGTTTCTATGTCATCACGACAAACGTGTATGATTGAGAAATCATATTCGTCAACTTTGAAAGTAAGCAAAAAATATAAATAACAATTATCAATAGTATTTTTTTACAATTACCTTTTCTTTGATTTTTTTTTTCATTGGTAATCGATTTATTATATTGGAAAGAGAAACATTAATAATTATCATGATCAATAAAACTAACACGACATTCACTACTAAGAAACAAGTAATAATACTCTCTTTTTTATTACTTCATTTTCACACAGTCAAGCGAGCCTTTGTGAGAGGTAAGTTCTTGATTTTTTTTATTATTTACCTTTATGTTACTTTCCTATCATGCATTCATATATATATATATATATAAAGTCACCTATTTCTAGATATTGACATTCAATATTAAACACTGCATTACAATTTCTACATAAGCAAAGAGGTTCGAATCAAACTGTGGACATCTTTTTGTTTCTGCCAATTCGTCACTGATCAGTAACAATAGATATATCTATTCAAATGTCTGATACACAAAAGTTATCATGCAATACACAACCAAATACTATGATGTTTACAAATGATGAGAAAAACAAACATCAAGAATTACGACAAAAATGTGGTAAAGAATATGACGAAGTATTAGAAATTAAACAAATCGAATTTGAACAATGCTTGATTATTAAACGAATGGTTCAGTTGGAGTTACAAAAAGAACGATTAAAAGGTATATTAAATGCATTACAATCGTTAGATTCAGAAGATGATGGTGATGATGATCAATGTGTGCAAACACAACAACGATGACTGTACTGTACTCATTAAAATTTTGATTTTTTATAGATACGATTTTGTATTTTTAAATGATAAATAAAAGTGTCTGTAACACGTATTTTAAAAAAAGTCTTCATTGTTTCTTGAAATATAGTTTTCTAAAAGAAAGCTAACAAAGAGGTTAGAAAGACCTTGTCTTTACGTCACAATTTATTAAGAATGATTAACTAAAAAAAATTATAGAAAAAGTAATCAAAGAATAATTTTTTTTTCGCACAGTCATTGTGGGCATTCGTCTCAGATGATTTGCAATTACATTTGTATTCAATATAAAAAACAAAACAACAGAATGTTAGTGTTATTATTAGATAAGTATCGGTTTCTGTAGCATGAACAACAAAAAAAAAAACAAAGTCATTATCAAAAATTTCTCTTGTTGCCTAGAACTATAAGCTCGTAAACAGGCATATTTTACCGTATTCCATAGCTTAGTATTACGAATGTATATCTTGGTAACTGTATACGGTCTCTATATATGAACAGGACGGTTTTCTTCGTCCTGTCCTGCATTCTTTAGGACGATCTTTTCATATATTGAATTTTTGACAAAGATAAAAGCTTATCTGTATATGCGGTACGATGTCAAATAACATAGACATATTATCTATTCAAAAATCATTTACTGTTTGATAATACTAATAAACCTTATCACATATTTTCCAGCAGACATGAAATGAACAATAAACAAGAATACTGGACATCTTTATGATGAACAAAATAATAATAAAACTAACATAAAGATATGAGATTCAAAATGTAATCAGTATAAACAAATGAACAACGATAAAGAATAAGTTTTCTTTTTATTGTTTTTTTCTTGAATATCTCTTATGAACAAATAATATGTTATCAATTTAACTTAGTGAAAAACGTGATCATCTTTGAGTAAATATCGAATCGGCTGAGCTAAATAATCTTTATATCGAACCAATAGTCACTGGTATGACATCTCCTCTTCCGGCTACACAATTGATAATAACGGAAAATTTCACTAATAGAGTAGAACTTCATTGATTCATGATCAATGAGACAACTTGAATGTTTTGCAAGATTCAAATATTATTGTGCAGATCCTGTGTCCTAAAAAAAAGGTTTCTATATGTGCAAAACAAAATGGATTGTCTGCAAAGCAGATTCTGTGAGACACACGTCCTGTGACATTCTCTGATATCTAAATATCTGAGCTGCATAATTAAATCGTTGAATATCTGAAAAGATCTTCAATAATTGAATTCAACTTTTAGATTTGACACTACTGCTTAACAGCATAAATTAAATTTTCAGTTTATTTATTTTATCAATCAGGAAATTAAAAATTTCTACATTGAAGTTAACGGTCATGTGTATTTTTTGTCGAAACTGTTAATTCCATAATTTTCAAGTTTTATCACTTTTCTGTTAATTTCATGAGATTTATTTTTCTTTCATAGTTTTTGTTCAGCTTCATTCTCTATAGTATCTCTAGAAAAAAAAAGTTTCAGCTTGATTGAACGTAGCAGCTCGGAGAAACGGGGGCGAAAATGCAGGCCATCTTTCGCTATTGTGATCCAAATATCTCGTAGAAGACAATACCAGAAACTTTGTGTCCATAACAACTTTTGCTCTACATATCAAGATCTATCTGCCCTAAAAAATTTCAAATTCTTCTGATGAGCTATTAGTCAGAAACCCCAGAAAGAAGGACGGAGGGTACCCTTAAAGCATTGCAAATAATATAATTGCTGAGAGTACATTGCTCTGTTCTGCATACTGTTTTATTCTTTGCTGTCATCTATAACTGATCTTTCATGTATGCGTCATTTGTTGCACAGATTAAGTTTCATAAAATTTCAACGAGTAGCTCTTTTGAAAATGCTTCTACAAATCAAATCAACTTAACTTAAACACTTCGTTAAATATACTTCACCAACAATTATAATTCCATATTAAGCATCCGAACGTCCCGATATGTCTAAATTCCAGTGTTTCTACTGTCATATAGTATCCAACTTTGCTGACCTTCGATTATTCCTTTTCTCTGACGTGTTTTATGGATGATTCATTATAGCGTCCATGATCACCTACATAAATACATATATGTAATTATTCACTTAATTGATATTTAACTGTATGAATAACTGATGAATTATATATTTGTCTTTTAGATTGATCTATCTTGATTTAAAAGTATATTTTGTTTTGCTTCATTGAAGAAATTATAATCATTTACACATTTGAAATGGATAGTTTCAATAGAATATATATTCTCTTAAATAAATAATCGTCTCATTGTTGGTCATCCATCCACATGAGCCGATGAATTGTGATTTAGACCATTCAAATTACGAAACTCATCACCATTATATGATTGTTACGCTCGAACATTCTTAATAAAAATATTTCTAGTCATCACCAATATTGATTGATTCATTGTTGAAATTTATTATTAAACGATATTTATCCAAATGTCAAAAGAAAACAAAAGATCCAGTCTTTGACTAATCATTACTGATTTATCTTGTATTTAGAGAAAAAAAATCGTTATCCTTGTCGTATAGAATGGCTCTCATAATATTTCGAATCTAAACATTGATTTAGTCTAGAAAAAAAATAACCGTAAGATTTTTGAAATATTGATGCTGGATATTGTGTCAAAGAGTAGAATCAAATTAATTCATTGATAGCTTGACAGAAAATTACTTTCTATCCATCTATTCAATATCAAAAAAATTCGATGAAAAGCTTCTTCAGTAGCAATCATCTTTTTCCTATACCATTATTCTTCAACAAATAAATTTCTATTTATGGCCTCTCATAAAATGCTGTGATAGTAAACATACGATGATGTACATCTATATAAGATACATACTTCCATATCGCTTCAACTGTCATGTAAAAAGAACGATTATAATTTTTCACAATTTATTATCAATCTGTAATGAATCCATTTAAGTCTGACAGAACTTTTGATATTGTTTACTATCTTATGGCATGCTTAGATTAGCGAATGTAAGAAAAGATATAAATCAATGATTTGCATCAGCCACCGCTAAAAGTTCTTGATTCTTGTTTTAAAATTTTCTTAGTTCCGTCAAAATTTTCAAAATAACAAACAATGTCATGTTAGGAGAATAGACAAAACATCCTTGAAAACTGATTATGCATGTCAAAAATTTTTAAATATAGTATCTATTATTATTTCTTCGCGGCGTCGGCTCAGTTGATCAGTTTACACTTCTGAATGTAAATCAATATAATAATTTTTTTTCTTTCAAAATAAAAGAACAGCTAAAAAAAGAAACTGATCGAAATAATTAAAATTTAGCTTTCTTCTATTGTCCAGTACATTTTATCTTCAACTTATCTCGGATCGAAAACATAGAAAAAATCGATATTTCTTTTTATAAAGTGTTATAATATGTATTTCAATAAAAAATAATGAGGCGATTAAAAGAGATTCGGTAGAATCGATCTACCTTGTGATCGTCCATCATTCTATACTCCAGCCTACAAATTATACACGACACAATGATCAGAAGTGAAGAATAATTTTCAAAAAAAAAATTGATATATTGTCTCTGAACGACATGAATAACTCTATTAATGATCTCAAACACTTGCCACCTTTCATATCAAACACTAAGATAATAATTAATACATTTCATATGAATTGGTTCGTACATCTTATCATAAATTTCAGTTCGATAAGTATAAATCTATCGTTAAGTTTTTCCGATTACTGATATATATTTCTGGACAATTCTGAAGAACTCAGGAAGTAAAATCAGTCTTTCATATAAATATATTCCGTTGAAAACTTCTTTACTACAATCATGCATTCTTCTTAATTCTTAGCGCATTTCGTTTACAGAGACAATTTTTATTCAATATAAGATAATATATTTTATTTCAGAATGTCTAACAAAAAAGAATAGATAAATAATTTAATTAACTAAAAGCAACTAAATAAAAATAAGAAATTATAACACCCAAACTTTCATTGAGTGTTTGTTTGTTGTTGTTAGTGGATAAATTAAACGATGAAGATCAGGAACTGCAGATTTTTTGATTTTTTTCGTATTCGGAGTAGATGAATCAACAGGACGAGGAGTATATTTTGATAATGACCAACGAATATGAGCCGGTCGTCGTGTAGAACATAAATTTGGAAAAATAAGAGTTGTATCAAATTTTTTTGGCGTTGATGTTATTTGTGGTTCAAATGTAGTAGAACTATAATAGGAAAGAAATAATAATATTTCAAACAATATTCTAATATAAAACACGGTTATACTTACTTCATAATGTGTATATAGTATAACTAAGATTCTGTGATAGATGAGTATATTTCGTATAATGATCTGGAATACAAATTGTTAACTATCGTTGAGTTACATCGACATAAATATCAAGCTTAGTAATTACAACTCGAGAAAATTGCTTGCAATCAATAAAGCAAACCAATAACAATTTATTCGATGTGATCAAAAACACTAATTGATGTAATTGTTCCCAACATAAGCTTATTAACTGATACACAAAAGAACAACATATTGTGTTCTCTTTCTTATTCTTTGATTAATTAATGAAACAAGTTCGACTGATAATATTAGAAAGTTATATGTGAATGTTATGTTTACACTGATAAAGGAACAATATTATTCGGTTTTTTCAATATAAAATTCAAAATATCTATTCAACTCTAAAAAAAATTCATACAAGTCACTTCTATTGATTGAAACAAATAAAAATGACTTAAGAAAAAAAAATTCCTAAGATAGAATATTCAATAGTTTATTTTCTTTTTAATCACACATTCACAAAAGTAAAGATTCACTTCATGAAAATGAATCTACTGTCATATTCCTAATTAATATATAGGGAATAAAATGAATAGCTGTACTCCAAGTTACATGAACAAGCGAGGAATATGAAAGAGAAAAAAAGGAGTATAATGAATCAATAATTACAATGTAGTTAAAGGTCATCTTGAATATAGAAAATCTTTTGTTACATATCAACATGGAATCAGGCGGATATTAAGTGAGAGAGAGAAAGCGAAAGTCGTTTTTTATCACTTCAAGTTGTTCTAAATATACTTTGACGCGTGCTCTATCTAATAGCGGAAACATTTTTGTTACAAATTTAAGTAGAAAAGAGCAAGTGGAATTCAAAATTATCCCGAGACAACTGATATCGATGAGAAAATCATTTTTTTTTTGAAAATGAAACCACTTGATAAGTATGTCTGGTATTGATCATCGAAGAAATCTTATAGTGTGAGGAAAAAAGTTTGTTATTAACTAATTTTTGGTATGACTACGCTCAAGAAAATGAACATATGCTGTTTAGGACCCCAGCCATTCTTTCTAATTTGTCGTGAGTCGTGGTCTTTTTTCTTAAACGACATTTATTGTAATGAAAGTTACATAAAGACAAAAACAAATAAAAATGATGAGATTATTAATTAAGAAGAATAAAACTATGTTCGTAATTAATTCAATTCAGTTTAATGAAATAAGTGTGTGTTGTCGTTTAACTGTATTTGTAACAATACAAAAGAACGATTGATTAATTAATAGTATCCTGCTAGAAAACGATTTTTCGCACCCAATAGTTAGCTGAACTTGAGCCGAAGCAAAGCGACATCCGACAGAATCTTTCACAGGCAAAGAACAGTTTTCAAACTTTTACTTTATATGTAAAATTATATTGTTTCGTTTCTTCCATACACAGCAACGAAAAAAAAAAGAGATCATTTCAAATTCAGCAGAAAAAAAAGCAAATGATTCATGATTCACTTGATGTCTTTCTCGTTTTAAAATCTAATCAATTTCACTCAGTATGTGTTTGCGCTTGTTGCTGATGAAACTTGAATAGGACGCACTGTTGGTTATTTTTCTCTTCATGTATACGATTACTTTGTCATATAGTTTCTCATCATGTGTAGATGAATTTCCATTGAAAAAGAATTCTTTTTTCAAATACAATAATTGCTCGGGTTTTCATTTCTATACTTTTATATAAACAGCAGTTGGAAATAGAAAAAATGTTTTGATATATCAAGATATCAACTATTCCCGAGTTGAGTGCTCAGTACTCGAGGAGCCAGTCACAAAAAAATTAATTAATAATTAAAATAGAATTTTTGATTTTGAAAAAAACTGATTCATTTTATAATTTCTTTTTTTAATATTCGGTAATTTCATATCTATTTATTTTATTTTTCGTATCCTATAATATAATATTCATAATCTAAAAGACATTTACCAAGTACACGATATATTTATATACAAAATTTGTTCATCCGGTGTAAAATCAACACGTACAGTATTCTCTTTTTTTCGATCAAAACTTTCTTTAACAAGAATATTTGATTTAATATTTCCATGTCCATCAGTTATTTTAACATGATAATTATTAGTATCATCTTCATCATGTGTTAATGTTCGAATATCTGTTGATGATGATGATAAAGATGATTTTGATGATATATCATCATTTGAACTATAACCACTTTCATATGTTGAATTTTTATCATTAAAATTTGTTGCTAGAAAATCTTTTAATGTAAAACAAAAATGTGTCGGTTGATTTAATGTTAAACATTGATTATCTATAGCTGGACCAGCTAATAAAATATCTTTTTCTTGTATTGATTGACAATAAAATGGATTATTTTCAGCAACAATACTAGCATAATCAATTGATATTAAATGTCTATTTAATGTAATGGGTATAAATGAACATATATATGAGGAACGATGACGACGACGTATTGATACAGATGGAGATTGATCATCATCTGTTAATATATCAACATGCAGTGAATTGTTTGAATCATCAAATGGATTATCAATAAAGACCTTTGAATAGAAAATAAGTTATTAATTTAATGTTTTACAATAATTCTGCAATAGATTGAAATTTTTTGTTGCTATGCGTATCTCGGATAGGGAGAAGAGTAGCTTTGCATAAGTAATAGACAGATATAGAAAAAGGTAACAAAGTAGGGGAGATTTCATGTAAGGATAAATGTGTGATGGCTAAAGATGTGTAGGACCAAGGTGTTTTTTATCCTGAGCTAGAGAAATTATTGCTGAATTTATTCGTATGGCACAAGGATTTTTTTTTGTTTTGGTTACCTCTATTAAGTTATGTTCTTATTGATATGATCTATAAGATAATTCATTTAAGCATAATCTTTAGTTTCGGTCGAGGCAACCATTTTTTTGGGGCTTCGGTCCGGAATAACTTTCAAACTTTTGTCTCATACATCTCTATTGAATATTCAAAAATAAACCAAATATTGCTATGATACATATAGGATAGACAAGTTAAGATAAAGAATGCAGTGGTAAATGCAGGAATGGTCATCTTTTTCTTCGAAATTGATCAGATATCGAAAAACTATTTTTACTATGACTACTTTTGTCTGCTATCTAATAATCTAATAATCTAACATTCTCTTTATTTATCACACATCATAGGTCCATCGTTGTGATATAGAAACGATTCAATCAGGAGAAAGTTAAGGAAAGCGTATTTTAGCAATGTTTCCTAAGGAGGGAACTATCTGAGCTGTAATTTGTTGTTAGAGTTGATCTTGAGCCTAAAAGAAAGTCTCAATAAGACTAAAAACAAATCTTAAAAGGATTCAGGCTCATGAATCTCTGAAGTCGAGTTATGACTATTTTACTGAATTTTCAACTTATTTTTAGGTATTTACTGCAAAATCAAATAACAAAGTTTCGATCTGAAATTTAGCCGATAGATAGGTCTAATGATTCTTAGAATATTTTAAAAATTTCAGCTGAAAAGAATGTTTCTTTGTCGAGATATTAAATTTTTGTTACATGTCTGTGGCAAAACAACTATTTATTGGAAATTTAATAATTCAACAAATGGATATTCTTTTCAGTTGAAACTTTCAGGATATTCTAATGGTCATTATACTAAGAGGAAGAGAGGTTTGTAGCTCCCATCAACTTTTGGTATTCAAGATGTTGATATATATTTGGATTTAGACTGGAAATCAAGTTGATAGCTGTGAGTAACAGTTATGCTATTTCAATTCAGTTTTTCATAAAACTTGACTAAAGGTTTCCATGACCGAGGAATTCGAATCTCCAGTCGGTGAATCGAAGCCTATATCAAAAATGTAACTCAATGCTAAAAAACGTGAATAATCCGTAGAAAATTGACTTCAATTAACCAAAGCAGTCGAGCTCCAGAATTTCGAAAAATCGAATTGAAATAGAATAACTCTCATTCACAGCTATCACTGTAATTTTCAGTCTAATTTCAAATATGTATGAATATCTAGAGTCAATTTTTCGTTGTATATTCTAACATATTATTTCAATTATATCTCATCTTACTTGAAATTCAACAGGTCGATGAAGTATAATTTCTTTTGATAAACCGATAACACGTATACGTGGTTTTTCACGATGTGTAATATTTTTTTCAACTTGAGCAATAAATGGTGAATGTAAAATATCTTTATCATTTTCAAGAATATGTATAGGACAATTGCCTTCTTTCAATGGTACATAACGTACAGTTGCTAATTGTTGTTCATAATCAATTTCAGCTTGATATGATGGTTCTAAACGAAAATGTATATCACTATTTATTGTTTGATTAAGATCAACATAAAATTCAGTTGGTAAATCAACAATTGCACGTTTAAGACCAGGTCCAAATGGTTTTAATTTTGATAAATAATTTGATTCATCATGTATAACATCAATTGTTAATTGACGATGAATTTTATTATTAAATAATATTATTAATTGATGTTCACCAATAGACATTGGTTGATATGTTAATTCAAGAGAATCCATTGAAATAATACGACGTTGAACGACTATTGCATGACCAAATGGATCAAGAATTGATAAAGAAAATAAATCGACCAACGAATTATTATAATATGAAGTTGTTGATGATTTTATTCGAAGACGAAAACGTGCAATTGAATTAACAATAACTTTAGTTGAACATCCATCACCTTCTAATTCATATTGAGGTATTTCTATTAAACAAAAGATTCAATTAAAATGAATATTATTAGTTGAATTAAATTCTTATTTTTATGTATTTGGGATAGACAACTCGATTTTCTTACTTAATTTTGAATAAGAGAATGGCTGCGAACGATACGGAGGATGTGTCATAGTTAATATAGCACGTTCACGTAAAATCAGTTAAAGAAGAAAATGGCCTAAAACTAAACCATAGTATGTGCATACATGCCGTCGTTCTTTTTTTTTTCTCCTTTTCTTTATATCGTTTGAATAAAACTTATTGGTGATGATTTACTTGTATAACAAAACTATTTTTCTCTATTCTATCGTCATTTTTCTGTCTATGAAGCTGAGATGGTAATTTGAAAATGCTTTGCTATTTAAGTCAAGTGCTCTGTTTTGATTTGGAGAATGAATAATCACATCTTAAGTACCTGTAAGGAATAGAAAAAAAAAATGTTGATTTTACTTGTACATTATAATATGTTAGTTCTAAAATTGCTTGATAGCAACGATTTCTCTCAAATTAGATATGAATTAAATGTTCTAATTACCTGGTTGAGGCTTTTTAATTACGTCTTCAAAGACTAATAATTGTTCGTCTTTTTTATATGAATTATTACTTAAAGTTGAATTATATATAAAAACTGTATATTGTGAATATGGTATTTTTATATTATTAACATAAAATGATATATTATACGTTCCTGCTTCAGTTATTGGTTTATAACTACATGAAAAAAGTTTTGTATAACCTTGATTATATGTATTTATATATTTAACATTAGTTGATACTAATTTTTCATTTGGATCTAAAATACACACATCAATAGACGATAATAAATTATTTATTGTTGTTGTTGTTGTTGTTGTTAATTCAAAACAAAATAATATTGTTTGATTAAGTTGATTATTAAAATTATTTCTATGAATACCTTCACCAAAACAATATAATTCAGGTCTTATTGATGAATAATAGCTTTTACGAATTAATGATGGACGTCGTAATTTGGAAATAAAATCATCAAAATAATATTCATTAATAAGTAATTCATTTGTCATTAGTCTTGTTGATGGAGTTACATGAAGATATTCATCAGTAAGACAAATAATTTCATTTAAAATTCTTAATGAATCCGAACAATGTATACGATATATGTTTGGACATACGGAATCAAATATAGTATATAGACGACGTATACAGGGTAAAACTTGAAGAAAAGAGTTTTGATTGTATGCTGTCGACATTAGAGATGATTTCTTCATTTGAATTAAATTCAGTTCATTAGAATTATTCCATAGAGAATCATTATAATTTTTTAAAAGACTAGATGTTGGTACATCATTGAAATGATATGATGAATTTGCATGTCGATAATACATACCAAATTTCTTTCTTTTTTTTACTTAGACAAATGTTAATTTACCTAGAAGATGCATACAAATAGATAAAAATAGCTACAACAAACAATTCTAGTCATCTATACAAAAGAAGAAATAGTAACAAAATAATAAATATATATCACGTATTGAATAACCTAACGTCTAATTATCTCTCTATGATGAAATATGTCCTTCATCTGGTGTGCATATATTCTACACCTTACATAATTAGCATTAAAAGGAAAAGGAATTTTCAAAATACAATAAAACAAAAGAAGAAGAAAAAAAACTGAAGTAGCGCAACTGATTACGATTTCAATCTTTAAAAATTACTATAAAAGATAAAGTTATATGACTACTGTTTCAAATAAAAAGTAAATCATAAATGTTATTGACAAAAAAAGAAATCACATAAACAATTGTATATTTTCAGGGACAAATATATTATGTATTTACATTCTTTCGAATGTAATTATTCATTACTGTTGAATTTTATTACAAGAACAGATAAATACCTGGTTACAGTGTGTATAATACTCACACATTCGAAAGTACCATAACATAGACTTATTTGTTATCTTTACCAAAGAAAATTACACCAAAGAACTATTGTAGATTCATAGTTTTTTCATGCTTAGATCTGTGTTCAATAAACATTGAAGTTTACAATAAAATCGAATGAATATTTCATAACATCTATATACATACATTGAAATGATATAGTTCAAACACATCATTATTTGTCGTTATTAATAATCTTATTCTAACATTCATTGAAAATTGCCTCAAATGTACTAATATTATCCATGATATATGTATGTTCAAATATGAATAATAATTATCAGATGGTCATTATACTTGAGATTTTTAATTATAGTTTTATAGTTTATATTTAAAAAATAGCTTCATGCATGTTTCTATGATGTCATATTGACCACCATTTAAATGACAAATAAACGATTATATAAACAAAAGATATATATTCTTTCTAATTGAAAAGAATTCAATGTATGAACGTTTAATGCAAAATTAAATTTTTTATCATTATCATTCTTTAATTATGCACTATGATTTGTATTGTTTCTTCTTGTTTTATTATGACTCGCATAACAAATATATATACAACCATTGTTTTAACAATCATATTATATCGTTTGATGTTTCTCAGTTGTTAACATTAAGTCATCCTTCATTCTTAACCTTCGTATACATTTTATCATTGTTACCTTCTTTTCTATATTTAGTTTTCAAAAATCATACACAAAATATAATCTTAATAAATCACTTGTCATTTACAACAATAGTTAATCATTCAAGTGAAACCACTCTGTTTTGCAATTGATTTCAATCATTTTTATAGACGAGGTTTTGTACGCAACGATTACTACCATAAAAATACTATTGACTATTTATTATTATTTTTTTTTGTCAAGCTGACTTAATTTAAATCTTTCTTTACGATCTCCACAATATATTAGTCGTCTATAAGTACCTTATTTTCATCTTTGTATTTATATATTACAGACAGATGAAGTTCTATAAATGAAACATTACAGTTCTCAAAATGTTACATTGATTGCATCATCTCAATAGTCACCAAAAAAAATGAATGACTGAATTAATCTTTAATGATCGTTAAGATGACGAGCAAATTTATTCTTGCAGCTAGTGATCCTATATTCAATAAAAGCAATCAATAAAAATAACAAAAAAAGAAAAATTCAGTCTCCTTCAGCATAACTAATGTCTTCTAAGAAATCTATTGATAAATCGATTCATTCATTTTTAACGATTGAGAAGTATTATTTACGCATGATAGATTAAAAAAAAATCTCTATATATATTCTTTTTCAAAGAAGAATGAAACTTCAATCATACATCTTTCTATCAAGGATGATAACCGATCAACCATTATCAGACTATTAAAAAAAAACATACGTTCTGTTTCATTTTAAACACAAGTGAGGAAAAAAAACGATTATTACTTTTCACTGAACAGCCAAATGGAATTAAACTAGTATCCTTTTTTCATTAGATTTTCGTCGAGAATCTGTATACATAAAAGGAAAAAGAAATACATTGAATTGAATGTATATAACTCTAGTTTTCTCTCCTAACAAGCATAGATACTAACTAGTAAACTAGTGCGATGATTATTTGAAAATAATAAAAAATTCAAAATAACCTTAACTTATTAAAAGAGCTATGCAAATATGTATCAGGTGTAACTAGAAAACCATATGTGATCGAGCAAAAACTATCGACAGCAGAATAACGCTCGATCCTATCCATTGATGGTAACCTCACTACATAGATTATAAAACTAATATCATTATATTTGAAGACTTACATGTGTTTTGGAAAAAATTTCTTAACGAGTTTGTAGTCGCTTGAAAAACACTCTTCAATTTTTATATATAAAAAAAGCAAAAACAGCATAGTATTAACACGCACATACATTAATAAACAATCGCTAGCAATGTTTTGTTGGTTAATAGTGACGTAGTCGTCGGGTAGCTCGAGAAATACGTGACAACCACAAATCTCTTCAATATGTTTGTTTCTTGTTCTTTTATTTTGAAATTGTAACACAAAAAAAATTCATCAAATTTCTGTTAACAAAACAAGCTGTAAGATTTTTGCTCAGGTCATTGGACAAGATGGTAAAAGTCACGAAACGTGATTTGAAAATCGATTATGTATTTTATTCGAGCAAATAATTCATCATATTCTAAAGGATAATTATTATTAAAGCGCGTTTTGGTTTTTTACAAGTGTTAAACAATAGATGTTTTTTGCTGATATTATTTGCACATATAAGATGAATAATTTATATTCTCATTTGGTTACGAAGCAAAAATAATAAGTACTATTATTTTGTATAAAAACTGAATACATTAGTTAAAGATCATAAACACTTACTTTTACTTTTCTTTCTTTTTACAGAGGACTTGAAGTACCAGATTTTTTTAGAAAAAACAAATTTGTATCTAAGTGTGCGATGTATATTATTATTCGAACGAAATACTTAGTATATGAAGAGAGTCGATACTGAAAGATATAATATGAATGATGTGGAATGTTATGGACTGATAAAAATATCATCTGAAAATATGTGAGAAAAATACAGAAAAAGAAGAAGCAGATCATGTGATTAAATTAAATATGCATACTAAAAAAATGTAATATTGAAATGCCTATAGGATTAAAATAGGTATATGCCTTGAGATTAAGTGAAATATCAATAAAAAAAAAAAAAAGAAGAAAAACGTAATTTTTCGATGAATTTATTTTTCCTTTTATATGTAATATAGCAACAGGAAATTTTCGACCTTACTCGGTCGATTACAACCTTCTCTGCGGCATTAAAATATGAAACATGATTTAGCTGCTCTTGCTAATCGTATGAAGATTGTTTTATTCTATCTATTTTTGGACACATTTCTTTACCATCTTTCTACTTAATCTTCCACAAATGCAATAAGGAAGTAGTTCATCTATTGTAACGCGACGTTATTCATATGCGATCTTTGATCGTATGTTAACAACCTTTGTCACGATCCGTGTTGATCTTTGATAGTAGAGAAATTGAAAACTTACTCGCAACCTCTTCAAAGAATCTATCAAAGAAAATACGAGTTAGACATCATAATGCCAGTGTACGACAGCAGAACGACACCGAAAAAAAGACGTGTGTGAATTGAAGATGGTCGACTTGTAACGATATATATCAAAAACATACCTTCAATAATCATCATGAAAAATGATAATCACATCAAGATCTTTCTTACAGGTGCCATTCTTAAATGATTATTCTGTTATACGAGGCACCCTTTTGTTTCTCTAGTTCTTTTTCGAAAAATGATATTAGACTGACTCATATTTTAACTCATTGAATCGTATGGTTATTGCTTCAAATCGTAAAGGACAACTCGAGATGTCCTGAAGTCACCAAGATTGCCGCGAGAGGGGGAGGAGGAAGTTAATGATTAAGACGATCGGTTGAGACATCACTGACACCAATGTGATACAAAAATAAAATAGATACTTGAGTTTTGAAAATTTTCGACATCCAGGATCTGTTTTTTTGACTAATATTTTTTCTGATTTCTCACCAGAGTCAGTTCTCTACCATCATTTTCTATCGTTTTCATTTCAAAACCGACTGACACATTTACTCATATTATTTATTCTTATTTTATAATTACCAATCCATTCGAAAACGATTCAGTTGAATCTCGAATTTTTCTTATTTCTAATAATTGTTTAAGCATTTGTTCTAGATTAATTTCATAATTTAAAATTTGTTTTGCTTGTGTACATAACATATGAAGAATATCGTACAACTTTCTAAGTTCACTTTCATATGATTGATTTATTGAAGAATCATTTTCATTTTCGTCTTGCCTATCTGTATTATTTTTAATTGAATCATCTAAATAACTCTCAATAATTTCATATTCGATTATATTATTTTTTAACCATGTTTCACTTGGCAATGTTGATTCAATATAAATAAGTTCACGTATCCAATAAGTATCTATAAATAATAATTTTTAAGAAAACAAAAAACAAAAAGATTAAAATTTTATTTACTTGCTTGAGCTCGTGCTTTTTCCATTGAACTGTTTATATCACCAATTGTTATTCCTAATAAAAGATTCATAAACACAATACTCATTATAGCAACAAATGGTATAAATAAAAATATTGCAGCTGTAAATGTTGATTTAGACAAAAATAATGTTTCATAATCAAATTCTCCAACAATCATTGATGACGATTTATGTATAGCTTTTGCTACAGTTACAAATGCTGGTTGATTAAAAAATATCATTTTTGTTGATATTGTAAATGCAATAAGTAATGGAAATATAACAAATAATAATAATGTAAATTTAATTAATATTGATTCAATCATAACAACAAAATTTCCAAAAAATGGTACTGAACGAAGCATAACAGCTATATTAAACCATTGAAATAATATTGAAAATGAT